AGCACACGTCTGTGTGCTTGCTTCATTTTGCACACATACTGGGATAAATCTTAGTGGACCTTCACTTCTGCAAAGCATGGTCAATTTGCTTTCATGTTACACCTACAGTTATGATAAACTAGTAGTCTGTGGCATCAATCAAGATGGACCTCGCCCCTGCCCTCCAAGTTCAATCGACGAGCATTTTTTTTTTTCCAAAAAAAATTCTGAAGAGATGAAGAATTACATTATCTCTGAAGTCATTCTTAGCTTCTTCATTTCTTTTTCAGAAATGCAAATGATTTTACATTTGTCTACCCTGAAAATACAGCCCTGAAATTATGACAGCTGAACAGCTGCTAAGAAAACTCAGACATTTAAATTCCTGTATAGAACAAACGCTTTCTGCATATTGCTTTCAATTAAAAAAAAAATCCAACGCATACTCACACTTTGTCAAGATAGGACGGCCTTTTTTTCCTCGGGGTCAGCAGCACTGTCACAAAGATGGTAATGATAAAAAGAGCAAGGACTGCTCCAATCACAGCCCCTGCTACAGCAACAGAAGATGTCTGCTTAAATGGCACATCTGCAATGTGATAGCATAGATTACACCTTTAAGAAGTTCACATACTTTCAATACTCAGATAAGCTATTTCAGCGTTGCTCTGAGAAATGTTTCTTCTTCCGTGACCAAATAGAAAGCTTCATCCTGCACTAGCACTCTTCCAGTCTTGGCTCCAGTCACCCAATTAAAAAAGTGGTTTAATTAAGAGAGCTCATGAATCATTAACATAATTTCAAAAATTTCACTGACTACTTTTAATAAATACTAGCTGCATGCTTTTATTTTCAATTTCAAGGCAAGATGAAGTTACACAACACATGCTTTGCACTTACATGAGCAAACGAGGTGTTAATGCAAAAAGCTAGACAACTACGGCTTTATTTCTTTAAAACCACTAAAGTCTGCAGAAAGGAAAAAGGGAAACTTAAAATCAGGGGAAAAAAGATATACTACTAGGAGCAATGAACAAACTCGCTAATACTTCGCTTACATTTAAAGTGACCCCTAAGACCATCTATCATCTCTAGGACTTCACACTCCAAGCTATGAGAAACAGTAATTTTTATAAATAAATTTTAACAAGGGGGGATAAAAAGATTTTTTTTAAAAAAAACATTTTTCTTTTGACCTCAGCATTGTCAAATCCAATGTTTAACAACTCTCATACTGAATTAATACACCTGTCAGTCTTTAAAGGTCACTAAGTTTTAAATCTCATAAAACTGTGAAACCTGCTAGCATGCTTTAATTCAATATCAATCTCAATCTCAGTGTTTCAAACTTGCACCAACAGGTTTATCAAAAATTTGCACACTAGCTTCACTAAAATTTTACCTGTAAAATACAGATAGCATACAGAAATAATGCTCTGATCTACATTGATTACTGGATCAGAAAAGTAAGAGCAAAGGAGTTTAAAACTAACACAGCTATATACTTGTAACACATTTCTAATGCAGTTTACTTCAGCTATTTTCCTTCAGAAATAATCAGCTGCTGCATTTCTCCAAACACCACACAACCATCCTCTATTTAAACTCTTACCAGAGGAAATTTTAGGAGCCTCTTCAGCTATATGTTCTATTCACAGGTCAAAAAAACCAAAACTATGCAATATATTTTATCTCACTTACTCATAATTCTAACGCTGTTCTGCCTGTGTGCTGGAAAACTGGACAAAGTAATCTTTTTCTCATCCCTCATTTTGAAAAAAAAAAACACCAAACACCAGAACAAACCAATCTGATAAAGGGATTCCCATCCTCTCACTGCATATGTAAGACCTGACAGCAATACTCCCCTGGGAACACTCATGCAGGTGTGTTTAAGTAGCTTGAACAAAACTGAAATAAGCATTTTTGTGACTTTCTTAAAGTTAAGGGATAAAGTCATAGATTAACAACTTTAGGAAGCTAATTCACTCCAGAAGATCAATGTCACATACCACCTTCAGTGATCATTGTTCTATTTTACAGAACAGTTTTCTTGGCATAAGCTCCATTTATCTGTCAGATACCAGTAAGAACACGTAAGAACCATAATTCCAATTTTCTCCTGAAAAATGAGCACATGCATCAGTGGAAGGATCACTTAACCACTGCATTTTAATTGGCTTTAGTTTACACTGAGTGCCCTCTTGTTTAAGTGAGAAAGTTGCAGGTAACTAATATACACTGTTAGGTCCAGAATTCATGAAGACGCTTTGGTCTTGTGATTACAACTTCACTAGAAGAGTTTCTTGACCGTTTCATACTGTACTAACTTTACAGTGCTTTTTTTCCTGGTAAATTCTGCTAAAATGTTGAAACATCATAAAGTATTATACTTTCAATGAAAGTTCAGCCATTGAATCCCATTTTGGGTGAGATGACAATAGCCACCCATTTACCTCTGAACACCAGGAAAAACAGTGATATCCCAGCAAGTGTAGCAACATACAGGAACTGAACTGAAGTGCAATTACCATAGAGCTCACTTAATTTGCTTTTTTAAATTGCTTTGGCAAAAAAGTAGGCACAAAAATTCTATCAGTCTAACCAGAGAAATGATCAGAAATTCAGACTACCATGCCAAGCTGAACAAGCCAGAGAGCACCTGAGATGCATGGTGCCAGCTACACAGCTTTTTAACCACCAGTTAGTCAGAAATAGATGGGAATTGATTCACTCCAAGAAATACGGTCAAAGCAGAGCAACTGAAAACAAAAAAAAAGGAAACTTTTTTTTTTAAAGAATGTGAATCCTAGACAATGTATCAGCTGTGCTTAAAGTGCAACTGTTTGGCCAGCAACTATTCCTATTTATCATTCTCAAGGTTCATACTTTTAAAAATAGTTCCTAAAGACACTTGTTTTATAAGCTTAGGGTCTCCAAGAGGAAATGCTAAAAAGCTCATCTTAAACAGCTTAAATAATTTAGTTCTTTCTACCCAGCCTCTGGTTTTACTATGCTTTTTCATCTTCAATTTTAAGAATATCTGTCAAACATTTTTGAACACTACCTATTTTCCAGAACATTAACAAAAAGTTTATTCACACAACAGCCATTTGTACTTACAATCAATTCTTTTTACAGCAGACAAAATGTACAAAACATGGCAACACGCGTAAGCCCTATCCTTATTATCAACTTCAACTCCAAAACATTTCAACTTCTTAACCCATAGGAATTAAATATATATATATTTTTCTAAAAATCAAAACAAAAAAATCCACAGAGACAAAAGCAAGATATCCCATGTGGAGAACAGGTTTATGGTTATGTTTATTTCCAAGTAACACCATCTTTTAAAGATGATATATCAAATATTTTTTTATTTGAAGAGAGGTATGATCTCTTTATTCCAGAAATAATTTTGATCAGAACCTTCTGCTAGAAATTTAACTCCTTTCCTTGAGTTTGCACTCAAACTACAGATGAACACAATATCATTTGCTATTGTTCTTGAGACTTTGGTCAATAATGTATCGCAGTACTCCATTAACCCAAACAGGAACTTAAGTTGTTCAGCAATGTTTTTCCATTTGAATTTCAAATAAGCTGTTGTCTTAATCTTTTTTAAAGACATGCAGTCATATGCAATCACAGTGTATTGCCTACAATGCTCAATACAACTATTTTTGTGAAGCTCTAAACGCTGTAAGCTACCAAAGATCATGAGCACATAAAAGAAATTCCAGCATGAATGCTCATGAAGCAGCCATAAATATGCAGCCTATTTCACTTTAAAAGGTAGCAGAGATTTTTCCCTTTTCAGGTTTCAAATACTAATAGCCTTATCAGCTTCATCTTCTTGAGCTAAACACTTAAAAATGGCACTTAAAAGGATCTACTATTCTAATTATGAATTTATCATTGTTCTGTAATTCATCTAAAGTTATTTCATTCCTCCTTACATAATCAGCAGAATTAGTTTGGTGAACCTGCTCAAGACAAAGTAGAACTACTTCAGATGTCAAACGAGATGTCCTACATACAATGTCATTTCAAAGAACAAGAACATAAACACGTTTGTTAAATCAGTATCGATTATTTGCAGGGAAAACAAATCCACTGCGGTACAGAGACTGCACAATTTATCTAAACTCCCATTTCATAGATTCTGTAGTTGCACCATCGGAGAGTGTGTTTTCACTACATGAAGTAGCAATGCAAGTGTCCACTTCCCTACTAATAACCTGAAATTCTAGTTACCCTCTTCAAAGCAAGCATTGTAACTTATTCAGAAGCAGCGTAAAACCGCTGTTTTAACTTCTGGTCATAAAAATTCTAGCAAATGCTTTGACACCTCTTAGCATGCTTAATGTTTCTTGGCACCCAGGAAAATAAAAAAAATTTGCATTAGCCTCCAGATTAGAAATCTAGAGTGTTTCTTCCTACTTGTGTCCAATTCTCCAGCTTTCGAATTCAATGGTAAGATTCCCACAAAGCCTCAAAAACAGGTCTCTCAAATTGTACCCTGTGTACTTGCAAAAAGAGCCTTGTATTCATTAATGAGTTTTGACATCCTGCCAATTACAGGCCTAACAAAGTATCTTACTGTATGTATATATACACACTAGCATAAGCTTTAGAAATCAATGACTATAAAAAATAATTTTTCATCTCATTCAACCTGTTTACACAGTTGTTTGACCTGTTTACACAGTTACTCCTCAAAATCTTGTTCATAAGTTACTTTCAGTGCAATGACTTTAAGTACATAGTTACAAGAAGGCTCATTAAAATGTTAAGAGGTATTCATTTGTGCAGAAAAACCTAAAAATAAAGCTTTGATTCTGCTGTAACTCATTTTAATTGGTAAAGTATTTGCTATACAGAAGCATTAAGTTTACCATGGATGGTATCTAGATTGGAGTAATTCACTTAATCTGCAAAGTAAATGCCCCAAAAGATTATATTTGATCATTGCCTTAGGTAAACTTCTTTTTAAATCAGAGAGCCAAGACAGTCACTTTTTATTCTTAAACAATTTTGAATGGCAACTTTAATTTAGCCTTTTTTACCTCTGACATAGACCAATATAAGTACTCTGCATTAAAACTCAAATCTTAAACAGTAGTACAGCATCGGGGAAAAAAAAGCAGCTCAAATACATTTTCCCCAAATTCAGTATTTCCTTTTGTCAAGTCACAATATAAAAACCTTCAAAAAAAAAAATCAGTTTCAAAAAGTTTATTCCTCCTCTTGTGTAAGTATAAACAATCTGAAAGTGATCAGCCAATGAAATTAACTATAGGTACACATTTAGCTTTCAGTGGTTACTACACATACCACTCCCTCCGAGATATTACCGAGCCATCTATGTGAGAAACAAAGTCTTCTTCATTGTCATCATAACATTCACCACCCATATACTTCATTCCCAATGTTCCACCTTCATAGTAATCCATTGGTCTTTCATAACGTTCCTGGTACCTGTTAATATTGTCTATATTGTTCCACTCTGTTTTTTCAGGGTCTTCTAGATAATCTTTAGATATTAAGCTGTTCATTGGATGCTTTATTTCTTTTTTTATACTGTCAGGATAAGAATCCACATCATCTGACTGAAGAACATCTATTTGAGACTCTTTTTGCATATCTGACGGTGGAATGTAGTTCTTAGCAAAGTAGTCACCACGGAACGTCCGTCTTCTCCTATAGCAGATAATTCCGACCAAAACACTGACAAGTATGAGGAAGAGAGCCCCACCCACCGCACTACCGATGACAGTACCCCAAGTGTCTTCCTGCATTGCTGGCAAGGTTGATGTTGGGAAATTTATTATTTTAGGTTCTGTTGCTAAACCTGTGATGCCATCAGTCGAAGGATGCCAGGGAACCGTGGGCAGTCGAGTGGTAGTAGTAGGAGGATCTAATGGAAAGAGCAAAGAAGTAGACAAGACACAGAAAAGGCACAGAATGTCAATGCAAGCTAAAATCAGTTAAGGGTTTATAAGAAAGCAAAGTTGATGGGTATGTTCTACAAGAATAGTTTTTCATTCTCAAGTTTATGGCACTACAAAAGTCTTACACTTTCCACAGGCTTTGAACTAGCTTCATTCCATGTGGTTTTGAATCCTGCAGCAGGTAGGAAATATGGGGAGAAAAAATACAAATAATCTTTAAGTAGACATCTTGCCCTCCTCAAAGTAAGGAGATGCAGCTTTTCTGCTCGGATGTTCACTGTTCATAGTTTGTAATTTACCTCCTCCATGGAAGAATGCTGTCTATTAGGAAAAACCCAAGCAGTCCTCTCTTTCCCACCAGCAGTTAGGAATACTGGACCAAATTAATTGATTATGCCACAGAGTTAATTATTCCACATTAAATTCCTGCTTCACAAATTGTTCAGGGCACCGAGTATAAGAATGAAAAACTATGAGTTGTGTGCTCAGTCAGCAGCACATGAACTACTGATTTTTAAGCTATTCTCTCCAAAAACATTTGTTGCATTAATACAACTTACTCAGCTTCACCTTGGGATTAGTGAAAGAAGCATGGTTAAAAACGGCACGTATTAATCTCAAAATAACACTCATGTTGAGCAAGGAGCTTTCAGGATTTTAAAATAAAAAAAAACTGGAACATTTGAAGTAAAATAATATCTATGTGTTCCTCCTAAAAGCAATTTGATCCCTCATGCACAAAGAAATTTCCATATTCCTTCCTCGATATAAAATATCAACTGATTGCATGTCAGGTTATGCAAGTAAACAAGAGATTGACAGATACTGAGATTCTCCAGCACTCAGCTTTTTCCTTTGTTCTTTAGGTCTACTGGAGATGCATGCATCTGTATTGAAGACAAGGTTGCAAGTGATGGGCTGATGACACTGAGAAAGCCTCCTGAAATTACCCCAGTTAATTGCAATGTTACATGCAACTCCAGTCTCCATTTCTGTGCCGCACTGAATAAAACTGGCTTTTTGCCTTGCCCAATGCAAGGTAACTTTAAAATCAGTAAAGCAACAAACACTAAACATGTTATTATAGCTCGAATCTTTTAGAGAGAATATTACATGGACAGCCAAATAGCTCATTATGTCATGTTATTTAGTTAAATGCCCATAAGCAAGATTCATGGAACTACTACTACTATTACAGAGGCACCCTAAATTTACCACCACAAAAAGTAAAATAGATAGAACTGGAGATTTGTCAAGCTTCCAGTTATTTGACAAATCATAACTTTAAAGATTCATAAATATGACTTTTAATCTTACTACTCAGAGACAGCCATACAATTCTCTTGCACTAGACAGAATTGCCACATTTATCATGATCACTACAAATCATACTTCAGACTGCACCTCACTGCTGAACGCAACATTTTAAGCTTGACGTAAGTAAAGGTTTACACAGATTTTCAAAGCACATAATTATATTATTTGACTATGTAAAAGTGGTGATTTGTTAGGGAGCTATACATAAATGAAATTAATTTGACAGAAGACAGGAAACCGAACAAGGAAGATGCACTATCAAAACGAACAAGAGGAACTCAGATTATGATTTTAGTAAAAACTGATTTAAAGTGAGTTTAATAACTTAACAAAGAAGTAGAGATTAAGGAATCCAAGTTTACCAAGGTTCCCATGTCCCACAAATTCATAGGTCAAGAAGTTAAACTCAAACCCCTCTTCCTTGAAAATGTATTTGCTTTAGACACAAGACTTGTTAGCTTAAAATACAATTTCAGACAGTACCAGCAGTATCTTCTTCCAGGCTATACATACTTTTTAACTGACTTTGTAATTGTTCATCTATTTACCTCTGACCTGAGGTCTTAAGTCTCATCCCCCACATCCACAATATAAAATACACATTCACAAGTATATAGCATTTGGATCCTGGCAAGTTTAACCATCACACATGTGAAATAAACATAGTGGCAATTATACTCTATTATCTATTATAATATATTGTAATACCAGTGTTTTACGAAAAGCTTTTCCTTCAAAACTGCTGTTTCATCCTCCAGTTGTCAGGTTGTGCAGTTGCATTATCTACAAGCACTAGTTAACATATTAATCTTAAATTCATTGCAAATATAGTATCAATTCAGTGTTTATATGTATTCCTAGAATATATAACCATGAATACTTCTACTGTCTATTTGAGTCAGTACCTTTTATTGTTGAAGAATGACAAAATTAAAATTGTCCCTCCTTGTTTATAAGGCCAATTACAACTAAGGACATGTAAGGTTAACTTCTGATGTCAGCCAGAGCTTGCTGAATGTAAAACTAGATTGATGTTTTTACTTCCTGCACCAAGAAAGTTTCCCAAATAGAAAATGAATGCCAGAGTTCCTTACCTCTACTCCGTAACATTTTGCTTGCAAATCGCATCTCAAATGCTATCTCCAAATTAAGAAAATGCAACTCTTATCTGTTGGTATGAAAGACTATATTCTTTCATACCAACAAGCTGTTTAATTATAACATTTCACATCATCACTGATACCTGTTTCTGAGTTCTTAATGCTTTCCACAAAACATTAAGCACATTTTGATTTTAAGTTAATTGTTTCAAATGGCACTTTATTCAAAAGCATCCATTTCCTACCGATTATTTTCTTTAGCATTTTACTTATGCCCCAAAGTTTAACAGCTCTTATCTCTTTCACTGATGTAGGCTTGTGTTGTTGCACAAACCACAACAACGTATCAAAGCATCCATGCAGGCCAGGGAGCTGAAAGCAGCAGAAACAGAAAAATTTTGCTTTTAGGTTAAATACATCTTGATTTCTGTTTTCATCTCTTCCTATGTTCTGGGCCCTGTTCAAATCCTCATTACATATACCCTGTAATAATAATGAGGACAAGTGAAGACCCACAAAAAATTTCTTCTACTATTACGTAGCTACCACCCTCATTAAAATAGGATAGGAGACAAAACTGAAGAAAGCAAAAACCTATTTTCTGGTATGAAAGAGTAAATCCATCAGCTCCTTCCATACATAAAAAGAAGCCAAGTTTTCTAGTTTGTTTCAAAACCTTTGGTAGTTTTCTACCAAGAAAACCAAGATTTTCTCTTTACTTCAAAGGAAGCTCTACTACCTTATCAAGCAAAGCACCATGGTCCTTGTACGCTATGCTTAGTTTTCCCTCTATTACCTATTTTCCAGATGTTTCCCATGAACGTTGGTACCAACTTTCAACAGCTTCAGTCTGATATTTTTACTTTTCCCTTAAATGACTATTCTTGATACAGTTTTCGAGCTCTCGCAATACAAACAACTTACCTTGGGCAGGTGAGTTCCTTCAAGTTTAGTAGAAACATCCAACTACATGATATGTCTCATGTCCCCAAACACTACATCTCCCTCCCTCAGTCCCTCTGCAGTACATCCTTGTTTGAACGTCCAGGACCCATCTTTGCTTCCATGGGAATTCAAAGCAAACAAGAAGCCAAGTGTCAGAAAGATGAACAGGCAAAGAGATGGATGGATCATCCTTAGAACCAGACCATTAGCTTCAAAATCTTAGGTTAAATCCTGTCTTGGTATCAACAAGCACTTCATTGTAAAAATCAGCTAGAGAACACAGTATTTTTAAACTACAAATAATTTTGGATTTAGCCCATTATTAAGTATTTTAGGGGTAAGGTGACCAGCTGTATAATAAGGAAGAAAATTCAATACTGGCACACATCTCCTTCGGCTAAAATTTGTCACTTAAGCATTACAGAAACAAAGTTTTGGAAGGGAAGGTACCTTGGTTACTTCTTGTGTATTAATACAGACAAGTCGATCTAGTTTCAAAAAACATGATAAAGTCTAATTCTCACCACTTAAAAAAACAAAACACAAACCCCACATGATTCAAGACCCACACTTTGACTCCCACATTCCCATCTTTGTCTTCTGCAAGACAAGGACCTGCTATCAATTACTTATAATCCAAAAGTGAGTTGGCTTTGCACAAATTACAAGATCTCTGTCTTTGCAGTTCTCATTTTACAGAATGGGAAGTGTCTGCCTGTATATGTATTACATATATGTTTGCAGAGACATATTTACCTCTGCTTCTTAACCTGCTGTTATTGCTAAATTTCCCTTAGATGCTAAATACCTAAAAATTAAGCTACTTCATAACTTTATGTAGCTGGGCATTATAAAAACAGCCTTTTCTTTCAACTGCTGAAAAGCTTATGTTGCAACTCCCTTATAACAGCAGGGAAAGTAGCCTTTCCATGAAAGAAGGCTTTCTGAATGTCTGAGATTAAGTGATTTTGAAGTTTATCATTGTTTCTCCAATCATTCCCACTCTAAAGTTAAGTAGTGGGTAAGGACACTGTGTAACCCTCTCCCCACAAAGTGTCTTGTGTACACAGGCTCCACACTGGAGGTAAACATTTTCCTTAGGATTATTTTCAGTTTGTTCCCTCCCATTTTGGCAGCATGATAGATATGAAGAATGAGATCAGCCTGAAGCAACTGACGCTTTTTATCAGAGCCAACCACCCATTTTCAAAGTTCAGTGCACTTTTGCAGTTTCTAGCTGGGATTTCCACACACCACGTAGAACATTGTGGCATTTCTTTGGGACACAAGAGAAAAACTGTTATCATTAACATAATCTCAAGCTTGCAAGGAATATTCAGGAACAACGTTGAAAGTTCAAAGCCTGCTATACCAGGAGGCATGCAAGTTAACAGTTAGGATATCCTGGGACCCCCTTTTCTATATAGCAGAAAAAAGCAGTTTATCAATATCGCTTTTAATACAGACTTCAGAAAATACAAGAGTGTCTGTATTGACAATGCTCTTTCAGAAAAGACGTCTATATATGAAGAAACAAAAGCAAAAACGATGATCGGCCTCTATGTTAACCCTGACAACATCCACACTACAAGAAGGTGACTCTGTACTTACAAGTCACATCTTCCTAAAGTTGCTAGGATTGCTGGCTATCAAAAGCTGGCTTTACTTTTAACAAAGAGTAGTCTCTTCCAAAGGCAGTCACTTGAAAGGATGAGAGGAAGCAAATAAGTTCTTATCTGAATGTGAGTCTCACAGGTCACCTCTCTTGCAAATGGAGAAAAGGGAAACCTCAGTAAACAGTATGAAGGCAAGAGCCAAGAAAATAAAGTTCAATTCCTTGTGTAAAAAAACCGAGTAAATCTGTATTACAAGAAGTGCTTTACATATGAAGCTGACAGATTGCTTTGGAAAACCTGTTGCCATAGGACTAACTCAGGAACTTCAACAACACTTGATCACCTCTGAACTCCATGAGGAGCATGACTTGCTTTTGCTGGACAACTATACAAACCAAGTTTAACTTTACATCACTGAACAAGTAAGAAATAGTGAAGATATCTGTGCCTTAAAACCAGTATTAAAAAAGTCTCTAGCTTCAAACACCATTTTAGTATTTCCCTACCCATATAAAGATGTATCATATCCTGTAACTAAAGGCTACTGAACCTATCATTTAGTCCCTTGTCAACTACTACTCTTATAAATTTCCCTATTCCACTTCAAGAGCATTAACATAAAGGTTAGGAGCACAACAAAATTTATTAAAAATACAGCTTTATTTTTTAACAATGCATATTAGGACCAAAAGCATTTTTTGCTCAGCTTATGTTCCAATCTTACAACACATTTCAGCTTAATAGTTATTTTTTTCTAGCAGTTAAAAAGCTTTACAACTACCAGCATCATGACTGTTCAGAAACATTAACATCATGAATCCTTTTTGACAGCTTCATAATTAAAATTTGAAAGATGGTGTGATCATACAGCTTTGTCTGCTAGCTTCAAAGTTTCACTTTGTTTTTGCCAAGTATTATACAGTGGAAGACAGCCAAGATCGAAAAATAAGCTAATTAAATGATTGTTCTACATTACAGCAGTGCCATGTTCACCATTACTAGATAGTATCTGCTCAGTTAAGTCAAATATTAAGGTGGTAAGCAGTTTGATTTCAAGTTTACTACTTCAGTCTTATTTTCTGTACTCCCGACATCAGTCTCTCTGTTCCCTCTTTAGAGTAACCTGAATGATTATTATTTAAATGGACTTTTTTGCTATTTCATAGTCACTTACCCATCCTGCATCATTTTAAGGGCATTTCAGTTATTAAAAGAGCCTGAACAACACTGAAACGTTATTCTTAGAGTTACAATAAAGTGTGCTTAATATTAATTTCTGAAAACAATACAGGTGCAATACTTTATGATTGCCTCACCTCTCTCATTTTAATCAAGTCTCCTATACACTAGAAGTTAATACACAGTGCTTTTAATCAGTTTGGTACAGTCTCTTCTAAAGTATCTAGAGCAGAGTGCTGGATGCTTGTCTCAGCGTTAAACTGATGTGTATGACTTGCCTGAACATCAGTTGTAGTGATGTGGCACGAAAATAAATTTGGTGCCTAAGTTGCCTAAAAATCACCTGTATTTTCTTAGATGTTGGTCACGCTACACACTCCAAGATTAACATGAAGTTTTTAAAACCTGAAATTAATTTAATCTGAACTAAAGTATTTGTTTTTACTGGCACACGTAACTTGTAGAACCATGACCCTCTATGATCTCCTCGGCATTCCCTAAAAACAGCTAAGTTTTGCTATTTGCAATAAAGTTACTGCAGCAAAACAAAGTTGCTGAACAAAGCTGAAAAGCAGCACACGTGTGAACAGTATCCATCAGTCCACACCAAAGACCAACTACTGCAGCTTAATTATCTCTGCAGTAAGCTAGTTTAAGTTATGTTGCATTTGCCACAGGCTAGAACATAAGCCATCACCACAGCTCAACTAGCACGTACTTCTATTATGCTTTTTCAAAAACTTGATTCATTTTAGGAAACATCATTTGAGATTTCAGAGTTAGCCCATTTTAGTCTGTTAGTCGCAAACATAATTTGAATGATAGCCTTATATTTTCATGTATGACAGTCATGGTAAAAAGCATGAGTTCTACTTACAGCAGATCATATTTATAGAACTGACAACTTGAAAAGTGGTGGACTTGAAAAAACCTCCCCCTCCTTACAGTTAGAAAAGGCCTGTGAACAGAGCTATAAACCATATTGTTATTTTCTGAGTAACTGTATTTGAATGCTACATTCCAGGAGAATATTTCATCCTATTTAATGATGATACTCTAATTTTTTTGACTTAATACTTCTTATAATGTGACAGTCTTCATAATTATTTTGAGACTGTTACACAGCCATGAGTTCTTCTCCATAAGGAAGCATTAGAACCAAGCATCAAAAAGTAACTTCTCACAGAAGTGACTTTCATATTAATTTGCAGCACTTAAATTACATAAAATTCTAGCTATTAAAAGACTGTTAAGTTGTTTACAAATAATTCCACTGTCTCAAACTATTTAGAAGTTTCCAGTTAACTAGCTCATTAACTAGTCAGTTAATTAGAACTTACTAGTTTTCCACAATGGCCTGCACTGTAGTTACGTCAGTCTGACTAAAACACCATCCTTTGTTCTAAAGATGCAGATATCAAATATGAATTGTGACAGATGTGGCTTCAAACATCCTGTACCTTCAGTTTTAGTCTTAAGTTTTCATTCTCATCTCAACCCTTAAGTGTTCATAATTAGTTTTAAGTTCTTATGAAGAAGTCATCTATGTTCGTATCCTGTAACTGGCGAACATGCACTCTGACACTTAATTCACATTGTGGAATAACTAATATCAAAACTTTCTGAAGAGCAGCAACACCATACAACAGAATGAAGTTTTAATTTTCATGTCTGTATTATTTTCCTTAAAAAAAATGGTAATATATTAGCACTTATTGATCAAGCTAGGTATTAGCTAATTTAGCTAATCCATTATGGAAATCTGGAGAGCTTTTTCACACTTGTACAGCACTATTCACATATACCCTAAGTCATGCTGCTCTTTCACAAAGAGGGTGTCATAGTAAAACATCACTTACATTGCGTTAATAGATACGAGGATGTTTTCCAACAGCAATGGTGCTAAACAGACACAAAAATTTGCTGTATTATACTAAGTAGATCAGCAGGTGTTCTGCAGGAGATACTTAACTTTATGATTACTGGATATCTGCATCCCAAGAAAAGGAGACAACGAGTAACTGGAGTACAACACACATTCAGAACATAATCCTAATTTCCTTAAAGCAGAGCATCTTTGACTTTTCCAAATGTAGTTGTTCCCCTCCCACTAACATCTGTTTTTTCAATCCATTACAGACAAGGTACTGTTTATTGCAGTCAATATGTCTTGCCAAAATGCAGGTTAACACTGGAAAAAAACAAAGTTCACCTAACAGGAGAAAGTAATAAACTCAGAAGCACTATGGGAATTACCTCAAACTTAAGAATTTCCACTGTATGTTGCTGTTATTGAGAAGTCAGTTTAATCCCAAGTTCTACTGTAGCTCTCACAATCCATATTTTCAATAGCTTTTCCCACAATTAAGGGGCATAAATATTTTATGCATCAACTGGCTCTTCAGTTTGCTATTTCAATCATTGACCAAAAAAAATTCCGAGTTAACATACTGTTTTTGCTGAGAAGTAAAACTTACCTAATATGTAGATAGTCTTCTGATCACTTCTCTGACCAAGGGAGTTAGTCACCTTACAGATGTAAGTCCCAGTGTAGTTGTAAGTCAATGGGCTGCTGAACTGTAGAGTATTGTTGACAGACAGCAATCCTTCAGGCCATTGTCCATCCAACCTAAAACAAAACAGTTAAGTTATATTTCAACTGTGAATCTTTAAGACTGAAGTCTAAATATAACTAGTTTAAAATAATAGTCTAGAAAGTGAACTTTTCACTATGCTCTGACATTCTCAATTGATATTCTCAGTGTCCACCTGAACATTTAGTATTTTAATTTCTGTGCCAAGTCCTTTAAATGTCAAGTCTGCTGGCACTAGCGAGCTGTCTACAAACTAAGAAAACTACTACAACTAAGAAAATATTATCTCAAAAGAACTCAGAGGAACAATCTAACTCTAAAAACTAACAGTCAAATTAAGATGCACTTATACTGCTGTCAGGATTATCTGCCTGTTCTTTTCCATCCAGTTGAGCTATCACAATAAATATTTTTGTCAATACACACTTAACTTATAGGACATTTTGAATAGGATTTCTGAGCAAGAGTTCAAGAAGTTTCTTCCCTCTCAACCTGCCTTTTCTCATCCCCGATCACTGAAACTCAATTTGGTGGTTGGTGATACATTTGGGGAAATAACTGGTTAAAGAAATTATTTCTAACCAACTGCCTTTTCCAAATCTATCATTTCCCTGTAGCATTCTGCATGTGTTTGCAGTAACAACTGTGTAAGCACAACAGAGAAAGGGGAAAAGGCAAAGGCACTGGAACTCTTAACAGAGCTGCCAACTGCCCATTAAACACCTGTGTAATTTCATGCCATTGCATCCCATTTTGCTTTTATCTATTAACAGCTAAGCAGGACTAAGTCAATATACAAACATGATCACCAGGTCTCCCTATCTTGGAAGCATTTAACAAGTATGATTTTATAAGTAGTATCGAACAAAAAAGCCACCCCTGACACTTTAAAATAGGTACTCAAACAGAAAAAAACCCCACAGTTAACAGTAAACGTGATCTCCAATAAATGTAGGTTCAAGACAACATTCCCATTGCTTTGCTGACAGTGATTATTGCCCAGAATTGCTTCAGCCATACAAAGTTGATTAAAGTAATTAAGCATGTACTTCATAATTCATAGTACCAGAAGTATTTCAAAAACCATTATAAAATAGTCAATTGGTTTGAAAGCTCTATTCTAATACAGTCCTCACAGGTGCAACATTTTAAAATATTATTGACCATGAAAATATTACTATCTTAGCAAATGCAATGTCACCTTTGCTTTCAAGGGATAAAGATTTTTTGGTGTGGTAGTTCCAGAAGCTATTATAATTTGAAACCAGTAAGATAGCAGACAATTTCAATACAGCTAGTTTCCACTTCCTTAAACACTCAATCTATTCTTCTTTTGCATAGAATTTCCCTCCCCCCCGAAGTTCCTCATTCACCAGTATTACAGCTTCTTGGATGGGTTTTGTTGTTGCTCAAACGAAAAGGTACACTAGTTTTATTCCAGAAAAATCAAGCTTTTCTTGTAAAAGTTGTTTCAGTTTTAACCTCAGGAAGTTTAAAAGTGACCTCTAAAGGTTGAAGTGCTTTAAAGGGTTGTATATATTTCTTCTGGAATTGGAAACAGTGGCTGTATTGATTAGTTCTTACACACATCTCAAAATCAAATCAGACAACTGAGAACCCAGTTCATCTAAAGAAACAAGCGGTACTGCTGTTGAGAGCCTGGCATGCTTTTTTAAACATAAGAATTTTTGTGTGTTGAAATCTCTCATCACACGGAATTTGAGTTAAGCCTGGGATGGCAGCCTACTATAGCACGTAGGTAAAGCATACATTTTACTAAGGCATACATTTTACTAAACCTACTTTAGTGTAGCCATGCCATTCTGACTAGAGTTAGCTGCAATACTGACTTAAGATTTCAACGGCTGCTTTAAGGATTGAGACAGTTATAGCAATGTTCTATTTACCTGTGAAACTGCCATCAAGCAATTCCGAACTATCAATACAACATTTTCAAACCACATTATGACTACTGTTCCTATATGCTAAATTATATCTACCATTGAGAAGGTAGAGAAATGGATTACAGCTTCACATCAGTAAATACTCCTGTGATTTTACCAACAGAAGCACTGTAACATAGCTACATATAAATTTACACTGTCCTTAGGAAAGTTATTTCCTTTGTTTCTACAAGCAACAAGTAAATTTAAAATAGCTGGGTTTATTTAATTTTTTTTGTCTTCACAGGACAGATTTTGGATCTATGCTTGCTTTTGTCTTCCTCTGTCTCTTGCCCAAAGTACATCCATGGCTGCAAAAGCAAAGCAGTAAATTTCAGAGTAGGGCCCATCGAATCCATACATCCATGAAATGCGGCTGTTATGTAAGAAATTTTTATTTTTTATTTTTCACTAGAGACAAATGTTCAAGACCTAGTTTCCATCACTATGCAAAACAGCACATTTATCTGTCTTGGCAACTACTTGAGCACTTTTGAAAAATATGACAAGTTCTATAATTCAGTAAGCAGTATTTGTCATCTCAGCTGTAATTTCCAGATTTTAAAATGCAGATACTGAAAAGTCTGTTCAAGTGTTTACAATCTACTTTAAGTAATAATAAAACAGAACTAACGAAATAATAGTTGGATCCCTACTAGATTTATTGGGCTTTGCTCTATATACTGCAACGTGCACAGTTTAGTCTACTTTAATAAGTAACTACAAAAGATTTTATCCTGAGAGTAATGACAAACTGTTCAGGCCTGTAAATTTACAAGATATCCACTCACCCATATTCATACATTCACACATCTTGTATCCTCCTTTTAAAAGGCTGGATAATTTTCAAAACAGGTGTTTACTGTAAGCTAAGAGATTATACCACTTTAATCATGTGGCAAGCCCCTTTTTACAAATAGTTACCTGGTCCACATAAATTCCATAGGTAATGGATTTGCATCAGCATTACATCTGAGCTGAACGTTCTCTCTTCCAATGAACCAGTTTCCATCATAGCCAGTTACTGAAACTTCTGGGGCATCTGACAAAAAAAGATTTAACCTATCAACAATCACAATATTTTCTTTAAACACTAACTGTGTGTAAAGGTCAGCTCAGTGGAGCCAAAGGTGCTTTTTGGTTGTGTTTGGGGTTTTTTGTTTGTTTGTTTTTTAATTTAAAAACCAACAACAACAAAATACACAGAGAACACCAATACAGTTCCAAGCTACAGCATAATATGCAGCAGTGGATTAGATCAGGAACAGTAAGCTGTTTTAATCAGTGCAACTGTCCCACTGTGTGTTTTCAGCAAACATACAGCACTTTAGTGAAGTGAAAGGACTTCAGAAGAAAAGAATCAGTTTAATGTTTTTTTGGAAGCGAGTAATGGTAATTTAGAGCTACTTCTCACTAACAAGATACTGCGAAGGATCAGAAAGAGCATTTTGAGAAGCCAGGTAATTAGGAAATCAAGAAGTTCACAGATGCTAGTTAAAAAGGTTAACAGTTACCCACTGGCATCATAATGTAGAATTATGTTGTTATGGCTCTAAAAAGCTAGGAGGCTACTTCAGATAAGCCAGAGACACCTAGCTGACATATTCAGAACCCAGGGAACAGAAGAACCAGTATGATTTGGTATAAGCTCCTACAGCAGAGATGGAGGAGTCACTGCAAAAGCTGTAAGCGTAAGGGAAGACTGAAGGAAAACTAGAGAACACAGACATAAAATCTCTGCTTCTCACTTTCTGCTGTGTTGCTTTACTATACAATTTTGTCAGAAGTTCTGAAACATGCCTTAGCACTAATTTCAGATAAAAGCAAGTTTAAGACCAACTTGCCCCCTCATTTCATTTTAAATACGGAACTTCATTCTCTTATTCATTGTTTGAGCCAATAATGGGAACAAATCATCTTTACTTCCATTTCTGTATCAATGGCACTTTAATCTGAAACTTCATTTCAACATTGACAAAATAAACCAGTACTAATCACTATTTTATGCCCAAATAAGTGACTCTCTACCAAACAGGACAAAAAAAAACCCACAAGAGATTCTAGTCAAACCAAAATAGCAAAGTTTACATTTTTCGGCCACTACACTTCTTCTAATTGAATTGACAGATTTCTATGATTTAGGAACTTTAAAGCAGCACACAGCTGAGACAGGATACCAAAAGAAGAACTTGAAAATAGTTCATCACGTATGCATTGTCTAACAAAAAAATGGATCACATGCCTACAGCTTATTTTTCTTAACTGGTTTTAGCTAAGCAGCATTGTAAGCCATCTCACTTTGTATTCATGAGTTTTAAAGCCACAAATTTGTTAAACAAGCCTGCTACAGGTTTGAATTACATGAGCAACCTGAAGCTGAATAACAAATGTTAGGAATGTATGTATTATGTTCTTGTTTCTTTATGCAAATTAGAGTGGTAATGCAAATTTATGCAAATTAGTGAGTAATTTGAAAATAACTTACTGACCCTCATAAGACCTACTTTCAACTTGTCATCTCAAACATGAATCTTCATTAGAATTCTTTTTTAATACTGCTGAAATTATAAGGCACTATAAACAGTTTACAGATGAACTGAGTTTGTTATTTTGTCTGTAATCTTTTCAATGTTAAATATAAACACAAATAATAATGTTTACCCATGAGCCAATATCCAAAACAAATGGTAGAAACATAATGGTATTGTAGCTTTGTGACTAGATTTTTTTTAATACAGAGACCCTAGGTTTCTACTCCTGCCTGACCTACCTCTTATCACATGCTTTTCTACACAGTTTTAATTTCCCCTTTTTTTCCTGAAGCAGTAAGTGCTCATCTCCTTCCTGTGGAAGGTGTACACTGATAAAGAAGGTGGTTATAAGATATATACCAAGTAGTAACTACCTTACAGAATACTTACACTGTATGTCCAACACATGAGGGTATCTTATCTCCTTTTCCAAGGCAGGGTGCCTCACAATACAAGTTATACGTCTAGGGACAATCATATACTGACTTACAACTGTCACAGTTTCATTTGGAAACAAAGTAGAGCTGGATTCCATTTCACCAAGACCTCCTTCCCAGTCAATCTCTGCAGCAGGTTTTCCAGTGGCTGCTGTACAAGTGGCTGCTATTGTCCGATTTGCACCATCTATTAGAGGGTTTGGTCCTTTTGTTAAGCTCACAACAGGTTCAACTAGGGAGGAGGAAAAAAGTAAATTTAAACAAGAGAGACTCCACATCTTTGAAACTGTTGCTATGTAAAAGAGTTAGAGAAGATATAATCCATTTGCAAAAGCCCATGCTAATCAGATGTCCTAGAAATAAGATCATGTCATATATCACAGATGATAGCTCTACAAAGCTTTGGCCTGCTGATACTGTTAAACTTTAATGAGTGGACAAAGGTGAATGTTGCTTATTCACTACATTTAATGCATTGAAAGAGAATTCCAAAGCGGTTAGGTTCAAAACTCCAACTACAGTGCTCCAACTGCAGTGTCTGACAACAAACAGCTTAAGATACTAGGTTGAAACTATACTGCGATTTTTAAAAAAGGCTTGGATTCTGCTGCACTTTCAAATGTTATACTTAAAGTAATAATCTATACAGTCAGTTTGTGTCACTTCAAAGCTACTTAATTCAGTGTTTTAACACTCAACATTAAGAGTTTAAGCTTCTGTTGATCAGTACAATACCAATTGATTCCATGCTGAAAAGGATAGTTAATCTCTAAAAACCTGTTTTTATTATACACATACATTATATATAAAATCTAATATGTACACACAAATATAGCTAATATACATAATTTTTTATATGTATCTCGTATATGTTTTTGATATACAAATAAATTGTTTCTAGATAGAAATAAAATTCTGTCTATATATAGATGGCCATCACTTATAGAAGTAAAAAATTTGAACTCAATACTATGTCTGAGACTCAAGAAATCCGCAAGTGGAAGGATCTGACCTCCTTGTAAACCCACCACTCACCTCAGAATTTTAGAGGCTTAGAGAACACACTTCCTTCTAAAAGGAACTTGAGTTCCTGATGTACAAGTCTACTGTTGAGGACCATAGACTGAAAAGCTTTTAAAAAAAAAAAAATTCCTTCTTACTCAAGAAGCCTGTTTCAGCCCTCTACAAGCCATCCACCAGTTGCAGCCCAAGTCAGAAATACCATCTGGTGTTTCAGATACAAACCAAGGTTTTGCTTTCTAGGATGGCCCATTTCTATCATCGATACTGGAAGATTCATGTTTCCCAGTAGCATACTAGCCTATTATATAATCCTTGTCTTTTGATCTAATGAGGCTATCAGAGTCCTCTGAAGTGAAGTCATCACTACATACCATAATGCTTTAGAATCCACCTCAGTGGACCAGCCCTAACTAATCACAAAGCAGAGACAACTCTTGAAACTTCTGTGCCTTTCAGTATCCTATAAGAAAAAGTTTAGTTCACAGAATTTCTTTCCAAGAAGCTGAAGCTGACCCACATACCTTAAAATGAAATAGAGCAGAGTTCACAATACCTGGCAAGGTATCTATACTTTCCAGCTATCTATACTTTCAAGAGGTAAATCGGTAACAAGTATTTTCAGTTTGAGTGAATTCACTGCCAGATCAGTTTTTGATTTTTTTTTTCTGCTCAGTGTAACACTGCTCAGTGTCTGAAGAAGGTGGTTTATTATTTGTTCAACTAGACTAAAAGGAAAGGCAAGTACTAAATGGATAACCTTATAAAAATATGTGTTTTCTGTTCTATGCTTAAAGTATATAAAGTGCTTAAAGAATATATCTCATTACCAGATTAAAGGTTGTTTGTTTGGGCAGATATTTAGAGCGGATTATTTTCTACTTTGTTTCTCTGAATGCCTACCCTCTGCAATTTATTAGTGACCCTACTGTAAATAAACCAACAGCAGGGTTTTTCAGCTAAGTCCTATATTCACTCTTCTAGATCTGAAGCACCTCCAACAGAGGTTCTTTCAAAATTTGATTCCCTGCTCTCTAACACTAGCAACAACTGGAGCTTTCTGCAATAAGCTTGGATATTTGAACTGATGTACATATGAAGCCTTCTATCATCTGAAAAAAATCCTTTAAAACCTAGCATGGAGAACTTGACATTGTATACCTTTGTTATTTGACCCACAATTTGGTTTCCCTGATTCAACATAAACATTACCACCTTGTTCCTGCCAAATCACTAGTAATAACCTTTTGAATAGCTTCTGTAGTATTACTGAAATGCAGAAGTAAACACCCAAACTTACATTTAGTGTCTTACAAGCATAAAGATACTAATTTTTGCTGTATCCTCCCCACCTAAGATCACCATCACAGAGAAATCAATTAAATTAGCAGCTATCATTAGCTTTTCATGCCAGAACTTATAGCCCCAAATCATTTAACCTGGAAATAAAGTTTCATATATTCTATTCCTTTGAATTTTCCTCAAAAATAAATGAGTACACAACTCCAGAATTTTTCCTCTACCCCTTTGTAACGGGATACATAGGTCAACAAGAAATCTTAACTAAGCTAGCAGAGATCTCCAGACCCAAAGCAGACTACTCAGTATGCTGCTTCACTTACTGTGCTTTTAGGAAAAAAAAAAAAACTTCAAGTATTAAGTGACAGTAGCCAGAGAACAGGATATAGACTGGTTTAAAAAGCCTAGTTTCTCCTAAGATTATCATTATTAGGAAAAAAGTATACTTTGCTTTCTCCTGTGATATCTGAAATTTGTGAGATTGGCCAGTTTCAGTTCATTGTGTAATTCTTGGTTTTACACTTGTCAGAAAGACACAAAATTGAACTACTCAAAACTACTCAACTTCATAAAATATACTTATTCCCAGTTCAATGTGTTTTGGTGCTTTAGTTTTTTTATACTTCACAAATGGTTAGGCTTCTACTGTCACATCTTCCCATAAATCATGATTCTCGGCTACACACCAACTACAAGATAACCAAACAGCTACATACTAAAAAGTGGAAAGCAACTGCTGTTATGATACTTATTTCTATAATCTATCCTTCAGGATTACTTTGTCCCAGCAGCTGAAGCAAAAACAGCAGAAACCCAGCTACTCATTCTACAGCCTTTCTAGCTGTTTCACTCATGGATTAAGATAAATATCTTGTGAATGAATCCCTAATTGCAAAGGGCCATTGGCATCTCACCTCTCACAACAGGAAACAGTTTTACTGGTTTTCAGCTTGGAAAAAAGACTACCGAAAGTCCGCGGTTTGGAGGGGTTTTTTGTGGGGTTTTGGCTGGCTTTTTTTTTTTTTTTTTTTTTGAAAGTGTAACTTCTATATACAGACTCTGGTAGCAGTCCTCTTTTGTCCCAGGACCATTCATGAATCATACTGAAGTGTGCCCTACAGAATTCCATTGCTCACAGTGGTGGTCAGGGTGGGGGACACATGAAGGAGGGTGGG